ATCACTAATGGGGACAAGTGTGAATGAATGTACACAGTGATTAGAGCCTATTATATGTATTAGATATCATTAAAGCCTGATGCTTAAAACAAAAAATATAGTATTCTGCTCCATAATAATATCTATGTTGCATAAAATTATTTTTAAAATAATTTACCATCATAAAAGTTGGCTCTTCGGGAAGCTGCATCATGTTTTTATGTGTGCTTTTCAATCCTAGAGGACACAATGCTTGAGATCCTTTTATTAGGAGACAGCTGCAGTGGGCTATCAGGACTGTTTCATCACACTGTTGTCTAAAATATTTTTGGAACAAATTGAAAATAGAGTGCCAGTTAGCTTGAGTTTGCACACATTATTCTTGCTTTAAAAAGCGTTCTAATTAATTATATTTTTGTAAAAACAAAAGGGCTTCTGTAATAGAAATAAATAAAGCTAACCCTTACAGAGTGCATACCATGTTCCAGGCATTGTTCTAAATGTTTTATATATATTAACTTATTTAAGTTCCACAACAAACCTATGAGCTAGTTACTATTGTCTTCCTGATTTTGATGATGAAGAAATTGAAATACAAAGAGAATTGATAGACAACTTTCCTGGCTGAGTGTATCAACCAGGATAGGGTAGGTAGTGCTCTGGTAACCAATAAGCCCCATGTCTTGGTGACTCAACACAATGAAGTTTCTTTCTTGCTCACACTACATGTTCTCCAGGAGTCATTGGGGCAGCTCTACTTATTGTAGGGACAGTCATGGTATGGACTCATTGCAGCTACTCAGCAATCCAGGCTGCTGGAAGCCCCATCTCACCCTGTGCTTCTACAATTGGTAAAGTGGGAAAAAATGAAACAACATGGAAAACTGCATATATTTCTTAAAGCGCCTACTCAGAAGTGATGCACATCACTTCTGCCTGCTCATATTACATTGGCCAAAGCAGGTCATATGGTCTAACTACAGAGAAAAGCAAGAAGTGCAGTTCGACCATGTCTCAGAGAGCCAGAAGCACTGAGTAGCACTAATGATCTCTACAGCCAATAAATGGAGGATTGAGGAAATGAGTCCAGGTAGAGAGTCTTACACCCTGTGATTTTAACCTTGCTCATATATTTTTTTTTAGATTTATTTATTTGAGAGAGAGAGAGAGAGAGAGAGAGAGCACGAGCAGGGGGAGGGGCAGAGGAAGAGGGAGAGAGAGAGAATCTCAAGTAGACTTCCTGCTGAGTGCAGAGCCAGTCACAGGGCTCCATCTCACGACTCTGAGATCATGACCTGAGACAAAATCAAGAGTTGGACACTTAACCGACTGAGCCACCCAGGCGCCCCCAACTTTGTTCATATTTTTAACATAGTGCTTCTTTTTCCTCATGTCATTGTTTAAAATTCAAAATTGTGTCCATATTTCATAATGCACATAATACATGATTATTAATGTAACTTATTAATAAATAAATTAATATGTATGTAACTTATTAATAAATAAATACACATATACTGGGGAATGCAGGTCCATCAGAAATACTTTTGAAAGGGATGTATTAGTACTGAAATTTGGGAAATTGCTGCTTTAGGCAATGGAAAATCATCAAGGTTTTAAGTGGGAGAAAGTTATTATCAAATTTATGTTCTTAAAAAGATAATTCTGCAGGGGCGCCTGGGTAGCTCAGCTGGTTAAGCATCTGCCTTCAGCTCAGGTCAATATCCCAGGGTCCTGGGATTAAGTCCCGCATCGGGCTCCCTGCTCAGCGGGAAGCTACTTCTCCCTCTCCCACTCCCCCTGCTTGTGTTCCCTTCTCGCTGTGTCTCTCTCTGTCAAATAAATAAATAAAATCTTAAAAAAAAAAGGTAATTCTGCAAAGGTGGATTACCCAAACCATAAACTTACATTGCAGAACCCTGTTGATGCAGTTGTGCGATATTTGGGGATTCTTTCCTCTAAATACTTAATATTTTCATTTTAAAAATATAGTTTCAGTATAAAAAACAGTTTGAGGATTATTGATTTTAGACCAATTACTTTCAGACAAGAGATATGAAGCTCAAAGTAGTTTAATAAATTGTCCAAGGTCACATAGTTTGTCAATTCCAGAACCCACACTTAACCAAGATCTCTTGATTTCCCCACTCACTACACTTTCTATCACCTCCTGTTTCTGCAAGATAACAGAAACTAAAATCAAAACCAAGAAGTTGTTTTTGAATGATTATTAGTAATCCTTTGTCAGAAAATCTGGAAAGATATTTTAAAAGGTCCAAAGGTCCAGAGTATGAGAGAGAGAGAGAACCCCTGGGCTGGGTATGGTTGATATGCATGTTTGGAGGGGGATCTGTGGGGTGGATGAGAATGGTAGCGTCATTTTGTGTTCTATAAAACAATCACCTGGGATCCAAGACTCCCCTTTCTCTAAGGAGTTCAACTTACTTTGTAAGTTGAGCTTTCTCAGGTAGGAAAGGAAAGGTTCTGAGTTGGTGAATTGCAGATGAAGCTTTCCACATCCTTGAATTCTACTCTGAAAAGTAGTGTTGAGACAATGTTCCATGAAAGGACAGCATTGGTGGGGAGACAGCCCCACAGGTTGGGCTGCCACAATTACAGAAATATGAATCCCAGGAAAAGTGGTTCTGGGTAGCTGATTGCACCCTGGAAACTGAGACAAAGTGAGGGGAAGCAGAGATTAGAATTGGCTGGCAGTGGGTAGTTTGGGCCTCCATGCAGATCCCAAAGAAAGGTGTCAGAGATGTCATTAGAGGTGAGTTTCAACTCAACTTTGTTATGGGTTGAAGTGTGTCCGCTAAGAAATATATTGGACCTTATTTAGTAATGGGGTTGTTGCAGGTGTAAATAGTTAAGATAAAATCATACTGGAGTAGTATGGGTCTTTAATCTGGTATGAGTGGTGTCCTTATAAGAAGAAGAGAGAGAGACAGATGAGGGGAGAACACCAGGTGACAACAGAGGCAGAGATTAGAGTGGTAAGTCGACAAGCCAAGGGACACCAAGGATGGACAGTCACCACCAGAGTCTAGGAAAAAACAGGAAGAGATTCTTCCTTAGATCCTTCAGAGAGAACATGGCCCTGCTGGCACCCTGATTTTGGACTTGTGGTCTCTAGCACTGTAAGAGAACGAATTTTTGTTGTTTAAGTCATCTTAATTTGTGGCACTTTGTTGTGGCAGTCCCAGGAAATCAATGTACTGTATAGATCAAGGTTACCAAATCAAGTGATCCCTTCTAATTCCTATCTTACTGGACCTCTTAGCATCCTTAAAATATGGCACACTCCCTCCCTGACACCTTCCCTATCTCCTGGAACTCGATGTCATCCTGGTTTCTCTGCTATCTCACTGTCTCCTCTATCTCAGTTTGCATTGCTTAGTTCCCTCTCCCTTCCTTAGTCTCTAAAAGTTTGGGTGCCCCGGGGGGCCTGGGTTGTGTAGTCTGTTAAGTGTCTGACTCTTGGTCTCAGCTCAGATTGTGATTTCAGGGTGCTGGGATCAAGCCCCAAGTCGGGCTCTGTGGTCAGCACAGAGTATGCTTGAGATTCTCTCTCCCTCTCCTCCCACCCCTCCTGCTCGTGCTGTCATTCTCTCTTTCAAAAAAATAAATAAATCTAAAAAAAAAAAAGTTTGAGTGCCCCAAGACTCAGCCCTCAGAGTTCTCGTCCCTGCTCTTACTCTGTCTTGCAGTTCTGTGGCTTTATGTGTTACCTAATACCCATGACCCCACAGTTTACATCTCTAGTTCAGGCCTCTCCACCAAGCTCCAGGCTTGAGTATGTCTGCCTGCTCACTTTTTCCTGTGCAAACTTAGCCTGTCCAAACCCAAACTCCTGATACTTGGCCCCCAAAACCTGCTCTCCCTTAATCAGTAAATTGCACCCAATTGCGCAGGCCCAAAACCTACAATTCATCCTTGTTCCTCTTTTTTTCACATCCCAATCCAATCCACCAGCATGTTTTGTCTTTACCAACTTTCAAAAATTTATTCTGTGAGTCAAAATGGTGATCTACAGTTTGACAACTACTTTCTTCAGAAATATCTATTGAAACTTACTATGTGCCAGATATTGTTCTGGGCACTAGAGTAAATAGCAATGAATAAAATGCTAAGGAGCCCTTCCTTATGGAACATACATTCTAGTGGAGAGCATCAGATAATAAGCCAAATAAATAAGTAAATATGTGTCAGAAAGTGGTGATGTAGAGAGAAAAAATAAATCAAGAGAAACGGAAGAAAATGATTGGAGAGAGGAGACAAAGAAGAAAATATTCACCCTGAATCTGAATTTCTCACCACCTTCATTATCACAGTTGAATCTAAGCCACCATGGACTAAAGAGAAAGCCTTCTCACCAGTCTGCCAGCTTCAATTTTTATTCCTCTACAATTTGTCCTTCACACTATAACCAGAGAAATCTTTTAAAAATGTAAATCATATCAAGTTCCTATTTTGTCAAATCCCTTTGGTAGATAGCCTCCTACCACATTCAGAATGAAGTCTAAATTCCTTCCAGTGGTCTACAGACCCATCACCATCTGCAACTCTGCACCTTGTTCAGTCTACTTTAGCCACACCAGCCTTCTTGCTATTCCTCATATACCAATCTGGTCCTGTCTAGGCCTTTGTGCTTGCTGTTCCCTCTGTCTTCAACACTGTTCCTCAAATCTTCACATGACTCATTTTCTCATTTGATTCATGCCTCTTCTCTAAATAAGCTCTTCAGAAGATCCTTCCTGCCTACTTTATTTGAAGTAAAACCCATCCACCTCTATTCCTTTAGCCTTACTTTGTGGCCCCATATTAGGGTATTCCTACCCGTCATTATATTATTTGTTTGTTTAATGAGCACACCTTGAAGACATAAATTTTGTCTTGTTCACTACTGTATCTTTGCAAATGAAAGCTGCTTGACCAATTGTCAGCATTTAATAATATTTGTGAAAAAATGAATGAATCTTGACCTCAGTATTATAAATTTTATACATTTTCTTTTTCAGAAAACCTGAAGGTTAGCTTTGACACACTTAAGAAGACAAGATGGTGTTTCCCCTCAGTTATTTGTCATAATTATTGGACCTGATTCTCTGAGGTTTTTCCAAGTCACCATTGTCTGGAGAGAATTGTGAGTAACCTAGAACAAAAGTTTCCACAAGATCATCTGGTCTAGTCCTTGACTTAAGAGAGATGCACTGTTGAGTTGACCTCTTTAACCTACAGTTGGAGTTATCTGATTTTATCTGTATTACTTTTCTTTCTGATGGAAACTTGCTAACTCCCCATTGTCTCCTTCCCCCCTCACCATGATTTCTCTCAACAGGAGTTGACCCCATTAGCAGGTGTGGATTTAAGTTATTTGCCCATGACAATTAATACCTTCTTGAATTTTCATATGTGTCTGGGTCCACCTGCTTAAAGTACTGTTCTTCTTCTAAAAAGACAATTAAAATGCTTTGATTTTTCACCAAAAGATGATTTTCACCCAACTTTTTGGAACTCAAAATAGAATAACTTCCTTAAGGAGAAAGTGGTCTATTCCTTGCCTTAAGAGAAGGTAAATAACCTCCCTTAGGCTTCCCTCTATTTCCATACCGCTATGAAAACCAATGTTAACAGTTGGTGTGTATCCCCTTAATGACTTTTTCCATGTTTATACAAGAGTACAGAAACAGAGAGCTGTCATTTGATTAATTTGATAAAAGTTGATATCATCCTATACACGACTCCAACGTGCTTTTCTCACTTAACATGATCTTATGACCTTATAAGCTCTCTAGTGACAAGAGCTCCTTCACTGCCTTTAAAAGTAGCAAAAGATTCTGTAGTTCAAATATTGCCACAATTTATTCACTCATCTTCCCACTGAAGGTCAGAATTTTGCCTTCTATGTGATCACTGTTGGTTGACAAGCACCATTCCATGACTATTGTCCTACCAAGCATTTTGGGTAACTTGATTTCCTGCTATTTCGGCAGAAACTTCAACTCTTTATCAGAGAATGGAGATTTGCTTGAAAAGCTTTAATGTGATTTTCCTAATACCACCCCTCTTCCTTTGCCGTTGATCTCATGAAATAAAGTGCTTAGAAAATGGGAGGTGGTGTGGTGTGTTTGATGAGATAAAAGACTTTGCATGTGTTTGTGAGCAGAAAATAGGCACACTGGAAAAGCCGTGTTCTCAGTGACTGGGGGCTGAATTCCAGTTTCCTATCTAATTAACTGTGTGATCTTGGTTGTCACTTGCCCTTTAATGAGCCTTAAGTTCATTCACACTTAATTAGGAAGTTGGGTAAGATAAAGATTCTCAATCCAGTGAATCCTTGTCCTTGGAGTCGGAAGCAGCTGAGGGTTTTCCAGGCTGTGTGAAATAGGGAGCATGTTTCTACAATATATGATTTAAAACTTTTCTCTATTTAAACATTTAGGGACATTTTACGGATTAAATGAAGAATCTATATGAATAAGATCAAGACATGGGACCTCAAAAAAATCACTAGCTGTATGGGCTGTTGTGGAGCTTGTACTTTCCTCTCATCATTGTTTACAAATCAAAGCCTAGGGCAGGAACATCCTATCAGGTCCCCTCCAGCTCTAAAAATGGTAAGGACAGGACAGTATTCATTCCAAGTGCACTTGACTTGGAATTTAGGCAGTGGCTAAGTTTCTGAAAAGTAGTGAGAAATTTAAAATGCCCAAGTAAATGAGTATATTTTAGTGGGTTAGACCTCCAAAATCAATCATACCTCTTTTTTTCCCATATTGTATTAATTAGAATAGTTCATTTATTTAACAGATATTTATTGAGTGTCAGTTTAAGGAGGAGAGGAGGCAAGGTGCGCGAGAGTCAAGAGTGAGCACCTGAGGCCTGAGGAAGAAGTGTGCTTGGAGGCCAGAGCACCTGCGGTGGGGGAGGGAGAGTAGTAGGAAATGTTGGCTAGGAACCAGGTTCTGCCTGGGCCACGCCCCAGACCAATTCAAACCTAACTGGTTGGGGTAGCACAAGCATATGTATTATTTAAATTTCCCTAGATGATTTGGATGCCCAGTGGGAGCTGAGAATCACTGATGTGGGGCCTTGTTGGCTTTTACTCTGAGTGAGGTGGAAAGCCATCAGTGAGGTTTTAAAAATTTTTTTATTGTGGTAAAATATAATATAAAATTTACCATGTTAACCATTTTTAAGTATACAGTTCAGTGGTATTAAATATATTCACAGTATTATGAAGCCATCACCACCATCCAACTCTATAACTCTTTTCATTATTGAAAAACTGAAATTCTGTATCCATTAAAAAATAACCCCTCATTCTTTTCCCCCTCTCAAGCCCCTGGCAACTATCATTGTCCTTTCTGTTTCTATGAGTCTGACTACGTATTTCATATAAGTGGAATCATATAGTATTTGTCTTTTTGTGACTGGCTTATTTCACTTAGCATAATGTCCTCAAAGTTCAGTCATGTAGCACATGTCAGAATTTCGTTCCTTTGTAAGGGCAAATAATATTCCACTGTATGTGTAGACCTCAATTTACTTATCCATTCATCTGTCCATGGATACTTGGGTTGCCTCCATGTTTTAGTGATTGTGAATAATGCTGCTGTGAATATGGGTACATGTGGGTCTACAGACTCTGCTTTCAATGATTTGGGGCATATAATTAGAAGTAGAATTACTGGATCATATGGTGATTCTATTTCTAATTTTTGAGGAATTGCCATATTGTTTTCCATAGCGACCCGAACCATTTTAGCTTCCACCAATGGCACATAGTTCTCCACATTTTCACCAACATTTGTTATTTTCTGGGGTTTTTTTATAGTTACAATTCTAATGAGTATTCTAATGAGTCATTATGGTTTTGATTTGCATTTCCTTAATGACTAGTGATGCTGAGCATCTTTTCAAATGCTTATTGGTCATTTGCATATCTTCTTTGGAAAAATATCTATTCAAGTACTTTGCCCACTTTTTAATAGGGTTGTTTGCTTTTTGTTGTTGAGTTTTAGGGTTCTCTATATATTCTGGTTGTCAATCCCTTATTACATATATAACTTGCAAATATTTTCTCCCATTCTGTGGGTTGTCTTTCTACTCTGATGATAGTGTCTTTTGATGTACTACATTTTTAAGTTTTCATGAAGTCTAATTTGTCTAGGTTTTTCTTTCATTGCCTGTGCCTTTGGTGTCATATCTAAGAAATCATAACCAAATTCAATGTCATGAAGTTTTGATGTATTTTTTTCTTCTAAGAATTTTATAGTTTTAGGGCTTCCATTTAAGTCTTTGGTCAATTTTGGGTTACTTTTAGTATATGGTGTTAGATAAAGGTCTAATTTCATTTTTTTTTTTTTTGTATGCAGTTTTCCCAGCATCATTTATTGAAAAGCTTGTCTTTTCTTCATTAAATGATCTTTGCACTCTTTTTTTTTTTTAAGATTTAATTTATTTCTTTGACAGAGAGAGACAGTGAGAGAGGGAACACAAGCAGGAGGGAGCTGGAGAGAAAAAAGAAGACTTCTTGCTGAGCAGGGAGCCTGACACCAGGCTCGATCCCAGGACACTGAGATCATGACCTGAGCCAAAGGCAGATGCTCAATGACTGAGCCACCCAGGTGCCCCTGGTCTTCGCAGTCTTATCAGGAATCATTTGGCCATACACATGAGGGTTTCTTTATGGGCTCTCTATTCTATTCCATTGGTCCATATATCTGTCTTTATGCAAATACTACATTGTTTTGATTACTGTAGCTTTGTAGTAAGTTTTGAAAACAGTTAAGCATGAGTCCTTCAGCTTTTTTCTTCTTTTTCAAAATTGTTTTGGCTATTCAGGGTCTCTTGAGATTCCATATGAATTTCAGGATGAGTTTTTCTATTTCTGCAAAAAAAGTCACTGGGATTTTGATAGAGATTCTTTTGAATCTATAGATTATTTTGGGTAGTATTGACACCTTAATAATATTAAGTCTTCCAATCCATGAACATGGGATCAGTTTCCATTTATTTATCTTCTGTAATTCCTTTTAGCAATGCATTGTAGTGCCCTTATACAAGTCTTTCATCTCCTTAGTTAACTCCTAATTATTTTATTCTTTTTAATGCTATTGTAAATGGAATTATTTTGGTAATTTTCTTTCCAGATTGTTCATTGTTAGTGTATAGAAATGCAACTAATTTTTGTATGTTGACATATCCTGCTACTTTGCTGAATTTATTAGTTCTATCAGTTTATGTGTTGTGGTGTGTGTGTGTGTGTGTGTGTGTGTGTGTAATCTTTAGGCTTTTTTCCATATAAGATTATATCATCTGTGGACAGAGATAATTTTACTTCTTCCTTTATGATTTGGATGCCTTTTCTTTTTCTTTTTTGCCTTTCTCTGGCTAGAACTTCTAGTACTATGTTGAACAGAATGGCAAAAGCAAACAGTCTTGTTTTGTTCCTTATCTTAGAGAAAAAACTGTCCTTCACCATTGAGTATGATGTTTTCTGTAATTTTTTTTATATAGAGCTTTATTATGTTGAGGTAGTTCTCTTCTGTTCCTAGTTTGTTGAGTATTTTTTATTATTTTGTGAAATGTTTTTCTGCATCAATCGAGATTATCGTCTTTCTTCCTCCCTCCCCCACTCCCTCTCTTCCTTCCTTCCTTTCTTTCTGTTAATGTTATGTATTACATTGATTGATTTTTGTATGTTGAACCATCCTTGCATTCCAGGAATAAGTCCCACTTGGTCATGGTGTATAATCCTTTTAATTTGCTGCTGAATCCAATTTGCTAGTATTTTTTTGAAGATTTTTCTGTCAATGTACATTGGGATATTAGTCTGTAGTTTTTTCTTGTGGTATCTTTGTCTGGCTTTGGAATCAGAATAATGGTGGCCTCATAGAATAAATTTGGAAGTGCACCCTCCTCTTCAATTATTTTTGGTAAAGTTTGACAGGAATTGGTATAGTTCTTCCTTTAATGTTCAGTAGGATTCACCAGTGAAGCTATCAGGTCTGGGGCTTTTATTTGTAGGGAGATTTTTGATGACTGATTCAATCCCCTTACTAATTATAGGTTTATTCTTTTTCTATTTCTTTGTGATTTGGTTTTGTTAGATTTCGTGTTTCTAGGAATTTGTCCATTTCATCTATGTCATCCAATTTTTTGGTATACAATTATTTGTAGTTCTCTTTTTATCCCACTGTGCCTAAACTATTTTTGTTTTATATATTTTTTAAATTCAATTTCGTTAACATGTACTGTATTATTAGTTTCAGGGATGGAATAGAATTTAGTGATTCTCCTTTTTATTTTTGTAGCATTGGTAATGATGTCCTATTTTCATTTCTGATTGTAGTAATTTGAATTTTTTCTCTTGTTTTCTTAGTCCATCTATCCATCTAACTAAAGGTTTGTCAATTTTATTGATATTTTCCAAGAACCAACTTTTGGTTACAATGATATTCCCTATTGTTTCTCTTTTCTCTATTTCTTATATCTCTGCACTAGTCTTTTTTTTTTTTTTTAAAGATTTTATTTATTTATATGACAGAGAGAGACAGCGAGAACAGGAACACAAGCAGGGGGAGTGGGAGAGGGAGAAGCAGGCTTCCCGCTGAGCAGGGAGCCCGATGTGGGACTCGATCCCAGGACCCTGGGATCATGACCTGAGCTGAAGGCAGACGCTTAATGACTGAGCCACCCAGGCACCCTGCACTAGTCTTTATTATTGTCTTCCTTGTGCTAGCTTTGGGTTTTGTTTGTTCTTCTTTTTCTGGTTCCTTATGCTATAAAGTTAGATTATTGATTGAGATCTTTCTGTTTTTTTACTGTAAGATTTTAAAATAAAGCTATAAATTTCCCCTTTAACACTGCTTTTGCTGTGCCCCATACATTTTGGTATGTTGTGTTTGCATTTTCTTTGTAATTTCCTCTTTGATGCATTGGTTTTTAAGAATGTTTTTAATTTCCACAAATTTGTGAATCTTCCAGTTTACTTCTGTTCCACTTCAAACTTCATCTCAATGTGGT